CAAAAAAAATTTAGATCGGACTACCAAAAAGTGGGGCAAATCAAGTCTAGCCTACCCTGAAGCTACAGTGGAGCATATTAACCTTTCAATTTCCTTATAACCGGACAAATATGACCATCTTTGATCTTTGCTCTATTCTCGTTGCACGACAATGAGCAAAGAGGGGTAACTATAGATACTCATTTTGTCCAGGTTAATATTATTAGTATTATTATTATTTATGTTTTATTTATATTAATTTTATAAAAAATAGAAAAATACAAAAGCAAAAAATGATAAAAAAGCTACCCTTGCTTTACCCCTCTGCAGCATGCCCCTGTTGCTGCATGGCACCAAACACGTTTAGCAACTGAACCACTGAGCACCCTTGGCCAGAACACCACCTGTAAGGAAAACCAAAAAAACAAAATCATAGAAGAGGAAGATCTCCTCCCCTCAACTAATCAGAACTGTAGACAGTCATTTTCGTCTATATCTACATACATATATTATTATTATTATTATTATTAGTAGTAGTAGTAGTAGTAGTAGTAGTAAATAATAATTACAAGCAAGCCCAACTATAAACCCGGGGCCCAATTAACAACAAAACATGGAGCCCCATTTTACCAGCAAACCAGAAGCCCATTGTAGCCGACCCAATCATCAAGCCCGTTACACTAGATCACCCAGTCCAGGCCCAGCAGCAAACCCAGTAGGCCCGAATACAGTTAGGGTTTCCAACATCTTCTCCAGCCGTCGTTCTTCACCCACCATTAGATCTGTGAGAGATCTAATGGTCCAGATTAGACTAGACTTAGGGTTTTTACCCTAATAATACACTCAGCCGCCGCCGCCAAATGTTCCACTCAGCCACTTTCATACAGTCGCCGCCGCACCGGCCAAATCGAAGGATATCTGGGTGTACTTAATGCACCTAACCAACTTAACAAACACATCACCAGCCGCCCCTAAGACGACCACCATCATAGCTGGTGACTCACGGGGGTTCCCCTCTTTGATCGGTCTGAATGATGTGCCATGGGTCCTATAAAAGGAACCCTCAACCTGCAAAGAAAAGGGAACGAACACAACAAGAGAGAAACACAAAGAGAACCAACAGAGAATGGAGAGTAAGGATAGAGAGGAAAAAACCAACAACCATTCGAAAGAAAAAACCAAACAACAACAACAACCAAGTATTCGAGACGAAAAAAGAGAGGAAAATATGAGGTTTTACCTTTGAAGCTTCGCTCATCGTCAGAGATATCCTAACGTCGCTAGAAAGTCATCGGTTCGAAGGTATTTCTTTATATCTAGGCCAATCGACAAACCTTTAAGCCAAAGGAATATCAGATTTAGATTTAGGGTTGAAAAATAGTTATTTGGGGGTGTTTTTTTGGGTCACCGATCGCCGTGTACAACGGCCAGAATCTCCAGCGAGCGGTGGCCACCGGCTGCTGGCCTCTCTCCGGCGAGGGATTTTAGAGAGAAAGTAGAGTTTCTCTATTTTAAAGAGGGAAGAAAGAAGGAGAAATGAAGAGATGAAAGCCATTTTCGGCCATTTAAGGGTATTTATACCCAACATGAAACGACGTCATTTCAAAGCAGAGTTGTGCGTTTTGGGCGCGTGGGTAAATCATCCCTGCAACCCCTATATTTTGTAACTTTACAATTTGGTCACTAAAATTAATTTCCACATGTTTTAATTTGGATTTTAAATTTTATTTTGCTTATATTTTAGTCACTAATCGTATTGATATGTATTTTGGGTAAAAATCCGATTTAGTCCCTATTATTTTAGTAGTTTTTATTTTAATCTTGAATAGTGATTAGGGTTAAATTATGATTCCAGTACATATGTTGTGTGATATTTCTATTTATGGCCATAAGTTTTATTATTTTATAATTTAATCCCTAAATTTAATAATATATTATTTTAATACAGTATTTATATATTTGTTAATTTTTAGCCAATTGTAATATTTTTAAATATTATTTTACTCGAGAAATTTATAGAAATGTGCCTTAAATGACAAGGAGTGTGTTTCCAAGAATTATTCAAATAAAATAATATATTTTATATTTGAATAAATTTGTTTAATATTTTAAAATTTAAGGTAATACTATTTTGTACGAGGAATCTATAAAAATATCCCCTTTATTGACTAGGAGATATTTTCGGGGATTATTCGTATAAAATCATATCTCTTTTTATTTTTTTGTAAAAAGTATCATAATTTAAATATTATTCGAATCTGTCCATTTTTATATTTAGATGACGTATAATTGTTTAAGTACTGATTTTTTGGCATTGTAGGGGTGCTAATCCTTTCTCACACGTAACCGACTCTTGAACCCGTTTTTAAAATGAATCTCTGGTTAAACGCGGATAAAATTTTTTATCTTTTAAAATTATTTTTCATAAAATTATTTTAAAAGATATTTTTTAGGTATTCGACTTACTTAACTCAAAAGTCGATGGCGACTCCAAATTTATCTATTTATGTATTTATTTTAAAACCTAACATGTCCCAAAATTTAAGTTGAAATGATCTTCGAAAAAGCCCTAAAAAGTCAACGGGGGACCGTTTCGACAAGAACACAGCAGCAAACAGAAAAAAGAAAAAACAAGTGTAAAAGAGACAAAAGAATGTAAAAGAGGGGGTCTTTTTTTCATTAAGGGGAGAGAACGTATAGTGTAATTAGATTCGGGGGGAAAGGGGCTTTGGGGACTCCATTTTTTTCTCTTGAGAAATCACTTGTAACAGAGGGCTCTCACTACTTTTCAACAAGCAATGAATCAATAGATTGAAAACGAAAAAGAAAAAACAGCAAGCAATACACCTTTTTTTTAAGGTATTTTCATACTCCATTTTCGCATGATTTAGAGGGCTTAGTTTTGTGTGTGTTGATAGGAAATAAAAGAGAAATAGGGAAGAGTTTGTTTCATCACCTTGCATGTGAGTAGTCCCACCGAGTTCGTCGCCGAAGTTAGAGTGTTGCCTTCGTCTGAGTGTCGAGTAGTCGGATTTGGGTTCCATTTTTTAAAAAGGAAAGAAAAAATCATTGGGTATTTAGGAATTAGTTTTGTTTAAAGTTTAAAGGAGGTAGACGAAGAGTTTTAGTCAGTTTACCTCATTTTCTGGAATCGTTGTTGTCGGTTTCACCGGAGTATAAGTGGGGACCAGTCGTGTAAGCCTCAATCAAGAGAGAAGAGAAAGCTTAGAACCTCGTTGGTTAACTTTGGGCTCAATCGGTCGACATGGGCGTCGGTCGGATCACATCTGGTCACTGATTTATGGCTTGTATATAGGTTTTGGGGTTCGATTTAGAGGAGCCAATAGAGTTTTAGGTCATTTAGATTTGGTTTTGGTGTACCCGACCCCCCACTAGTGGTGGCCGGAGAGAGGAGTGTGACCGATTTACGTCCAAGGAACGATGTCAGGGTTGGTTTGTTTCGGTTTTGGTTGAGGTTTTGTTGAAGATAGGAGGAAGCTAGGAGTTTTAGTTTGTTTGAGGTAGTCTAGGGTCATCACTGCAGTGTTTGGAGATAGAGAGACCACCGGCGAACGGTGGTCGACGTAGGTCTTGAATATTTGAAGGGTCTCGGTCGCTTGAGGGAGAGGGATGGTAGAGAAGAAGTAAAACGGAAAGAAGACTCTTAGGGTTGTGATTGTTTTTTAACTTAAAATAGTAACTTTTGAGAGTATGATAAAGTTTAGGGTTAAAATGCTCTTAAGTCACCCCAACTTTGTCATGTATTCACAAAATGGTCCTCCAAACTTATCTATTTTCTTCATTTTAGTTATCGTAACCTTAGGTGCAAATTAGCTTTAAGCCCCTGTACTTTAGGCACATTTTTACGCTTTAGTCCCTTATTTTTAATCATTATTATTTTCGAATATGGTACTCTATTTTGTTTTATTTTTATTTTGGTCACGTTTATTTTTTGTTATGTTATTTTAATATTGACACTATTTTCTACTTTATTGTATTTTGGTAATTGTTTTAATATTGTTAACATTTGAATATTCAACGACCTTGTTGTAAGTCGCCCTGGGGTATGATCCACATTATTTATGGTACGGGTTAAAATGTTAATTAAAATGACCCCCTAACTTTTAAATTTAATGTTTAATATTTCTGTTTTTATTTTTTTTATTCCAATGTTTTAATTTTCAGTATTTTATTTTTATGCCCTTTAATTTTCGATATTTACATTTCTGCCTTTTAATATTCCGGTTAAACGCATATCATTTTTTATCTTTTAAAATTATTTTTCTTAAAATTCTTTTAAAAGATATTTTTAGGTATTCGACCTATATAATCTAATGGTTGATGGTGACTTCAACTTTATTTATTTGTTTATTTATTTTTAAAACCCAATATTTTCTAAAATTAAGTTTGATCAATCCCCGCCATAGCCCAAAAAATGCTTAAGGACCGATCCAACAAATAGGTTAAGTTCTTTACGAGTGTTTATTTTTTTCGTTAAAATTATTTAGCGGAGGTTAAATAAGTGATTTAAAGTTTTAGTTTAATAAAATTTATTGAGTGGTTTTATTTTTTAAAGAAAATATTATTTTTTTGAAAATTTGAATTTAAACATTTATTTTTGTAAGGTGTAAGGTGTATATTATATTATTAAAGAAGAAATATCATTTTTTTAATCACTCTAAACTATTTAAAAAAATAAATTATTGAAACAAAATAAATTGATGTTTAAATTTGGACGTCTTGGAAGGTAAATGTTTCGCCCCGTTTCGAACTTTTTCTCTCGAAAGGGGAGAGAACTAATGATACAAGAAAACGACATATGGAGCCTTTTAAATGGTCCGACTTCTTTTGAATATTACTCCAATTTTGTCCACGTACTCTTCATTAAGTTCAACAACTGAACCATTCAAAATCCTTTTAATTTTCTACTCATCAATAATTCATTATTTTAAACTTAAATGGTAATTATAATCATATTTGCATATACATATAAATATGGATATTGTGTTTGCAGTGAGGTAGGGAGGACATGGGGGAGTTAGAACATGGTCTTCAAAAAATCATGAAGGCAACACCTTCAAAAGCTTTGATCAAGATCAACCTGGTTTTTATTGCCTTTTTTCTGCTCTTCTATGGAGCTCTTCTTTTGCGACCAAATTCTTCTCTCTATTTCCAGAATGCAGCATCGGCTGTTCGATGCTCATTTCGTGAGTGTCATCACAAGGTAAGGTGAGCTGAGTTATATTTATTCATCGTATAATCAAACATGTTTGTTTTCTTTAATTTTAATGGTTTGGTTATGTAGCTGGAGAAAGGGATGAAAATGATGGCAGGTTTGGAGCCGAAGAGAAATTTAACTATGTTATCGGTGCCGAGCTTCGTTGATAAATTTGGTGGTGGATTGAAGATTGGGATGGCTAACTTCGAAGATGTGGATTTTAGTGAGTGGAAAAAACATGGGGAAACGATTCCGATCGATTTCGAGCGAGTCTCGGAGCTTTTCAAATGGCAAGATTTGTTCCCTGAATGGATTGATGAAGAAGAAGAAGGTGAAGTGCCGAAATGCCCCGAGTTACCGATGCCGGACTTCGATAAGTACCCAAACTTGGACTTGACAGTGGTGAAACTTCCGTGCAAGTACCCCATAGATGGCTGGTCTAGGGAGGTTTTCAGGCTTCAAGTTCATCTCATAGCTGCAAACTTGGCAACCAAGAAAGGGAAAAGGGGTTGGAATTGGAAGACAAAAGTGGTGTTTTTGAGCAAATGCAGGCCCATGTTGGAGATGTTTAGGTGCAATGATTTGGTGAAACAGGAAGGGGAGTGGTGGTACTATGAACCGGAAGTCGCGAAATTAGAACAAAAAGTTTCATTTCCTGTTGGTTCCTGCAAGCTAGCGTTGCCATTATGGGGCCGAGGTAAGATCCTTGGCTTTCAAAATTCTTCACCATTTCTGCTAAAAAAATTATACCTACTGAGGTTTATGCAACCAGTTGACTTGAACAACAAAAAGTTGGCAGACGAAAATGAAAGGATGAAGAAAATAGTATGGAAATAATTGAGAGTAGGAATTAACATAAGGATTAGTTGGATCATTGATGTTGATGTTAATATAATTAGGAACTTCCTAATACCAATTCTGAATTTGACCTTACTTGCTGACAAAGTCCAAGACAAGTAGTTATCATATATATATATATTGAATAATCAGAGATAATTATAAAACATGAAGAAAATGAATATAAAATTTCAGGAAATGATGAAGTGTTTGATATCACCAAGATCAAACATGCAACGGGGAACACAAAACGTGAAGCCTATGCCACAGTGCTACATTCTTCGGAAACGTACGTTTGTGGTGCGATAACCCTCGCCCAAAGTCTCCTAAAAACCGGCACCAAACGGGACCTCATCCTTCTCCTGGACGACTCCGTCTCAAAACAGAGGCGTGACACTCTCAAGGCAGCCGGATGGAAGCTCCGGTTCATAAAGAGAATTCGAAACCCTCGAGCCGAAAAACACTCATACAACGAATACAACTACAGCAAGTTCAGGCTGTGGCAGCTTACAGATTACGAAAAGGTCGTATTCATCGATGCAGACATCATGGTGTTACGAAACCTCGACCACCTTTTCAATTTCCCTCAAATGACTGCAACGGGCAACGACGTTTGGATATTCAATTCGGGCATTATGGTGATCGAGCCATCAAACTGCACGTTCAAGCTCTTAATGAACAAACGTGAAGAGATCCTCTCGTACAATGGAGGGGACCAAGGTTTTCTGAACGAAGTGTTCGTATGGTGGCATCGTTTGCCGAGGAGAGTGAATTTCCTAAAGAATTTTTGGTCTAATGACTCAAATGAAAGAGGTTTAAAGGAGCAGCTATTTGCAGCTGATCCACCGAAGCTTTACTCCATACATTACTTGGGGTTGAAGCCTTGGCTTTGTTACAGGGACTATGATTGTAACTGGAACAAAAGGGATCATCATGTTTATGCAAGCGATGCAGCTCACAAGAGATGGTGGAAGTTTTATGACACCATGGATGAAAAATTGCACAACTTTTGTGGGTTAACGAAGCGAAGAAAGGTTGAGTTGGACTGGGATACAAAGAAGGCTAAAGATGCAGGGTTCAAAGATAAGCATTGGAAGATTAAAATTACAGATCCAAGACGAAAAAGTATTATCAATTAGATTTTTTCATGTTTCTTTTCTTTTTTTCGGTTTTAAATTATTTTTGTTAATTTTATTCTGTAGAAACGCAGTATAGATGATCCCGTTTACCTTGTAATTTACGTATTGATGATAGCTATACCATACTATTTGTGCATTACATGCAGCAAAATAATTATTGTTTGAAGGGAAATTTTTATATGAGATATGTAACCTCATTTATATATATCACCTCTTCAAGATATGACATTTTATTTCATATTAACGTTATAATTGTCCATTTTATCAACCGTGATAAGTGTTTGATGTAAAATCAAACAATTTAAAAATTATTATAATATCACTTATCATAAGACTTGCTCTATTTTTAAAAGACATGTATAATAAGATGTACATCGTAATCATTTACAAACTTAAGGACTTCCCTTTTTATTTTTATTGTAGGATTCATGTTTTCGCGTCTCTAAAACATGATAATAACCTCTTGTCATACCAAAATATAAATGTAATTTTATCCGATTTAGTTATTAAAAATCAATAACTCTAAACTAAATTAAAAATGATTAGTGGGGCTATTTGACGTGCAAATTTCAGCCCTTTAGCCAAGGACTGCAAATTCAATAACCGTTGGCTGCATAAATATAATAATAAATTAGCTAACTGCTCTGGTTTAATTTAATCTCTTTGATTGCTAGTCTCAACCACCAGAAGATTTCCTGCTGTATTACAAGCAGTGTGCGTCACGAATTAGAGATGATGATGATTAATCAAACAAAACGTGACATAAACCATGACAAAAAAAAACAGTGATTTATATAATGTTTAGGCACACCTAATGAAGCCGCGTGTGTGTATATATAATATGTGGAATTTGGGGACCATATAAATGCGTATCAGATAAATAAAATTTATTCCATCAATACCTTGATAACATGAAAATGTTTGAAGCATGACGAAGTACGGATGAAATTTTAACTTTAAATGTTAATGTTTTTTAGTTTTCTTTCGGAGGATGAATTTTATGTGTTTCAATCATTAAATCGACGGCCTTTGAGAAGTTCAGTTTGATTCTAGAATATCTCAAACATGCGATGATATGATATGAATCAAATGAACTCAATGATTAGAAATATGGTTGTTATCCTCAGAAGTATTCAATTCGAGTATCGGCGATTATAGGATTTTTAAATGCTCGTTGTCAAATAATTAAAAGTTTTAGAACAAATATTACAACTTATAATTACTTAAAACTAATTAAACAGAAAATTAGGATGGTAAATCATCAACATATGATATAATTTTGTGTTTCCCTCTCGTAAAAATTAATATCAACGGTAAATTACACTCAATGTCATTTAATTATGGATTTAGTAACAGATAAGTCTCCTTTCTTTTAATAGTTACAAACATATCATTCAATTAAAATATTATTACAAATATATTATTCCACAGTTAAAATAGAATATGACGTGTACTGTAATATGATATAATAATATTTTTAGCCTCTAAAAATATATAATCTATTAATTTTATTCTAATTTAAAATAATTCAACAAAATTAATCCTCCGTATTTAAAAATTACATCAATTCAATCTCTTTTTTTATAATATTATCAAACCAAGTGAGCTCATCTAATCAAAGTAATACTTGGAAACCGGTTTAAAGTAGCAATAAGTTATTGTTAAATTGTTATTATATAAAATATATAAAAATTTATGTATTATTTTGAATTAAGAATAGACTACATAAATTTTAACGACTAAAAATGTTATTATATCATGCTACACCATTTTTCTCAGCTAATATTTAATTGTCAGTGATATATTTGTAATATTTTAATTGAATGACTTATTTGTAAATTTTAGAAGAAAGTGGCCTCTTTATTAGCAAAACCATAATTAAGTGACCTTGGATATAATTTGTCCTTGTCAAAAAGTACTGGAATAATTGACTAAATTAAATGTCAGGTACAAACTTGAGAACAAATATTCTTAAGTTTCACTTTGGAGGGAGATGACAAGTTCAATTACCAAATATATATAAAGCATAATAAAATAAGGGTTGAAATTTAATTCTCGAATTGCCAATTTAAAATTTAAAAATTATGATATATGATTTAATTTATCTAAACTTAAAATTGATAAGGATTTAAAAAGTATTTAAATATAAAAGGAGTAAACGTTTATTTTTATCTAATTTTAAAATTAGCAAAGACGTGAGAAGTATTTATATAAAAATTCGGAAATTAAAACATAATTTTATTAATTTTAAAATTAATATAAACCCAAAATATTAAAAAAAATAGAAATATGTTTGCTGGAACTGTAGTTAAGTTTTTTTATGGGTAGGCAAGGATTAATCTAATTTAATTTTAAAAGATCGAGCTATAAAAATAAATAAATTTAGAGTTGTTATAGACCTTTAGGTTATATAGATCGAATATCTAAACATATCATTTAAAAGAATTTTAAGGGAAATCATTGTTAAAAAAATGGTATGCTTTAACAAGAAACTCATTTTAAAAATGGTTCGAGAGTCAATTACGCGTGAGGAATTATGAGCACCCTACAATGTCCAAAGTTAGTATCTAAATAATTATTTGTCATCTAAATATTAAAACTTGTAAATTCAAACATGTATTTAAATTATTATCTTTTTTAAAAAAGCTAAAAAAAAAATCTTTGGTAAGAATAATCTTCAAAAATGTATTTCTTATTAGTCAAGACGAATTTTCATAGATTCTCCTTACAAAAGATCATTGCCTTGATTTTCTTGACAAATTATATATATTGAATATGTTCGAAACAAATCACTTGGATATAAAAAGATTATCATTTTATACGAACAATACTCAAAAACACACTCTTTATCGGTCAATATGTATTTCAATAGATTTCTCTCACGATATAATATTGTCTTATTTTTCTAAATAAAATAGATAAATTTAATATAATTAAAACTCATTTGAATCCAAAAATAATATCATCTATAAATTCCTCACATAAAGTAATACTTTAAAAAAATTATAATCAAGCCTCGACAATATATATATATATATATATATTTAACATTACATGCACATATTTCAAAAAATGATGTTTATATAAGAATAATATATAGAGAAAATAACATCAGTGACAAAAAATGCCTTATAATATACGATTTTAACCAATTTTTTTTTGGATTTGCCAAAATGACCAACTAAATCGCAATGCGATCGATAATTCGCAACGCGATCTTATGTATCGCAAATCAGTTTCCATATTCGCAACGCGATTCTGACTATCGCATTGCGATTTCCCAAATTCGCGTTGCGATTTTCCTTATTCGCAATGCGAATACGTAAATCGCAATGCGATTACGTAAATCGCAATGCGAATACGTAAATCGCAATGCGAATACGTAAATCGCAATGCGAATACGTAAATCGCAATGCGAATCTATAAATCGCAACGAGATTCTGACTATCGCAATACTGAATTTCAAATTCGCAACTCGATTTCTGAATTCGCAACAGGTTTTAATTTCGCAACACAAATGTTTTGGGTATATAACTACGCAGCAGCAGCAACTCATAACCTAAATCCCTAAATCGCAACTTATTCCATCTCCATCTATCACTCTCTCCGGCGACATCCGTTCCTATATCCAACGACATCCTTCCCCATCTGGCAACAGGTTTTAGTTTCGCAGCTCGTTTGTTTAGTAAATTAATTTACAATAATGAAATCATCTAATGTTGATCATGTTTGGATAGATTTGTGTTTTGGAGGGTCATGGGAGAATGTTCATGGTGTTTTACAATATATGCCTTTACCCATGAATCTTCAACTAAAATTGTCATTAAAAAAGTTAACTTATGAAACTCTAATGTTACGTATTGCAAATAAATTGAATTTAGAGCCCCTAAGTAGATTTAGGCTATCTTATCAGAGAAATGGTAAAGTTTATTTGTTAACCGACAATGAAGATGTTGAACGATTCATTGCTTACATTAGTGTTTCAAGTGATGATGTTACATTGTCTGTTGTTGAACCTAGAAGTGGTGAAGTTGGGTCAGTAGCGGGTAGTAATCAACTAAGTTTTTCAACCCCAGTTTATGGTGCTCAAAATTTAATGGTTCCACCACAATTTCATCACCAAGAAAATATTGTTTCACCACATTTCTAATACCAAACACAATTTCAAAACCCACAGCATTTCCCTAATCCAAATCCCAATCAACTTTCAGCACCAAATTCCGGTTTTCGTATTGACCAGTTAGACGATGATGAGCCAACAGAAAAAATTGTGAGTACTAGTCAATATTCGAAATTTGATCTTGGTCAATACCCGGACTTTGATCTTGGTCAATACTCGGATTTTGATGATTTTTCAGAAGAAGAAACAGACCCTGTGTGTAATGATTTTGATATTGGTCAATACCCGAATATTGATGATGAAACAGCTGTTGCCGAGGAAGATGTTGTTGATGATAATGAGGAGGAAGTTACGATTGTAAATAAACATGTTGAACATTCATTCTGTAATTCATATAACACTAAAGAAGAAAAAGAAGAAGAAGAAATCCCCAAAGAAAAGTCCCCGAAGAAAATGCCACGAGAGTATAACTGGAATATGCCAGAATTACTTCAGATACCGGAAGAAGAGTTGGTAAAGATAGCAGTTGATTGTTACACAAAAATTATTCGTATCAAGAAAGATGATTGTTTTGATACAAAGGAAGACTTGAAGATAGCTTTGTATACGAAATGTGTGGAAGATGGCTATCAACTAAAAGTTAACAAATCAAGCAAAGATCGTTTCGAAACAATGTGTATGATTGACAAAAACTGTATGTGGCGTATGATTGCAAAGAGGATAAAAGATTGCGAAATGTTTCAAGTTAGGACTTTTATTGATAAACATACATGTTCAAGAACCCAAGTTTTTCCTCACCATAGACAGACAAACAAAAAGGTGTTGGGTGGTTTTCTGGCTGAGTTAATGTTTTTGAATGGTAGGGTATATCGGGGACATGAAATTATGACTGACATGAATGATCGGTTCAAGATTAGTATCTCATATTCTCAAGCTTGGAGAGCCAAATGTTATGCCTTGGAATTGTTGAGGGGGTTGCCAGAAGCATCGTTTGCCCAACTGCCGGCTTATTGTCACAAT